TCCACCTCCAACTCCACCAGGGTCACTTTCTATCATTGGCACATGTGCCCGCCTTAATGTCAGGAACCCGGACGCGTACCTGCGTCCTCCCTCCCCGTTCCATCCTGCCTGGTTCCCTGCTCCCCAGCGCTCTTCTTCTCTTCTCTTCCCAACCGTGTATGACTGTCGCCCTCGATCCTTCATGGAGCACGACGTGAAGCCCGTTCCTCGTCGCATCCTCCACACCGCCTTCTCGGCCTGTCGTTCCGGCCGCCCTGCCCTGCGAGATGCTTTGGAGTTCGCACAAAGAGAATGCATCTGCCTCTGAAGATGAAAAAACTGTTGGGGACTCGGATGACGATGCCCCAAAGGAAATTGTTCTTGCGCAGCCGCAACAGGGACGGACCCTTCTGCCTGCGCCCGCGGCCGCGATTGTCAGTGGCGTCACCGGCCTGACTTCGTTCTATGTTCGTGGTGCAACCAAGATTGGCGGTTGGGGACTTTATGCTGGCAGAGAGGCTACACTCAAAACACTTTCCGTCAGTCGCAGTGCACTGGAGTCTATCCTGATTGCAGCGGGACGAGATGTCTCTACGCGAAGCAATGGCGACCTGGGACGCGCGGAAGCTGAGAATCTGCTGGAGAGGAGTGTACGTTTGAGGTATCGGTATTGAATAAATGACACGGGGCTAACATCGTCACAGATCTCCGCGTTGCATTCGACCATCTCAACGACGTCTTTTGTCGCCTCGACGGGCTTCCACCTCACAGAAGCGTTCATGAACTCAATATCCGGTCTATCTATCCAAGGACTGGCTACACTGAATGCCATCCTCGGCTCTACTGAGTCCTCCCGTGCCGTCGCGGCAATCATCACGTTGATCAGAGATGAACTCAACAAGCCCGAGATCGGTGGAACTGGCGAGGTGGTGACATACCTGGACCTTATTATCGCCACCATCGGTTTTGTGATGCTCCAGAGGTGGGGAAGACGGAAGACGGAGCTGGATTTTCGGGACGCTGGTGGTGAAGAGACTATTTGGGACGCGGTCATTGATGACAAGGGCTTTCGAGCCGATGTCGTGGGGACACGGAAGAAAGGCATGATCAGTATCCACGCCAATACTGGTGGCCCGCCAGTCACCTTTACTTCTCCAGATTGCGATGAAGATTTTGAGGCCTTGGAAAGGGGAACGGTGTTTGATGCTCAAGCAGTCGCACTGTCGGCGGAGAACCAGACAAAGCTGACCGACGAAGAGATTCGCGAGCGGATCATGAGCCAGATACCATCTGGAGCTCGAGCCGTGATCACATCCGAGACCATCACCGCCAAAACAATTCGTGTCGACATATACGATGCTGAAACGGCCCATATTGACCCTCCTCCGGGAACCATTATGGTGGCAGAAAGGCTGAACCATGAAAGCTCGACAAACGGCAACCAAGCTGGACCTCATCAAACTGTCATATTTCGCACGTCTTTGAAGAGATCGAGCAGTAGGGAGAAACCATCGTCGAATGAGCCGCTGCGATTGACCGGTCATAACGGCTTAGGTCAAGACCACCACGACACCGACGACTTGTTCATGATGGCTACCGCCCCGAAGCGAATTTCTATCGTGGATGAACCGATCCAGATAGATAACGGTACTTTCTCCAATTCGGACCGCGATGAGTCGGCAATCGAATCATCCTCACCACCAACCTCTTCTCCTCCAAAATTGCTAGGCCCTGTTGCCAATCAGAAAAAGAGTCGCCGGCCAGTTCTCAGTTCAAGCAAGTCATCTCCCAATGCAAGCAGTACCAGTCGTATACCACTTGTCAAAGGTAGAAAGGACAAATCAAGTTCAGGTGTGAAGAGTGATAAAGCTGGTGTCATCAAGAAAGCACTGATGACGCTGAGTCCGAGTCAGTCGTCAGCGGCGGTAAAGGATCTCCCAAAAGTACCACCACGGCAATCAAAATCATCCACCTCAGTGGCAGCACAGTCGCCCAGGTCTAGGGCGCCTTCGGCCAATCGCGAAGACGCCACATCAAGGAGAACTTATGCTTCGTTGACCCATGGCAATACGCCCCTGACAAGTCCGAGTTTACATCGGGCCACCGAGTCATCAACAAGCTATTTTGCCGTGCACGACCGGAGAAGAGACTCTATTGTCTCGCAGACCACAGAGACATATTCTGTCCATTCGCATGAGAGTCGACCAAGCTCCCCCACCTTCACGAGGACTCGAACCCGAGTTGTGAACGGGTTGACACAGACGAGGTCGGAACTCGGACTGGCACTAGACGAGACTGAAGCTAGAGTCGACCCAACCACAGGCACAGTCCATCATAGACGCTCTCGGTCTTTTGTTCCTAGTCTGTATTCGATGGGGACCAGGGATTCTACAGAGGCCATCCTCTTAGCGCCAAAGGCCCCTATACCCCGGAAATCAATATATGAGGATCACAGTGTATTGGCTGCTCTCATCACGAATGGGAAAGTGCCAGGTATCTTTCCTGATCGTCATCTTGTCAAAACGGTTCGACGATTTGCGAGGTTCGCATCGGCTTCATACGGGGCGAATTTCCTGCGGGTTATGGGCCTGACAACAGCAGAAGATGAGCTTAGCAAGTCGACGGAGCTCATGACCCTTGACGTCCACCACGAGCACAGCTCATTTTCCAGCCATACAGGCCTGCCTCCTGACACAATTCTGTTGTCATCCTTCTTTGATCCCCAAGGAGTTACTGGCAATACTGACTGGTCGCCCTCAGCCATATCGCCATTGATCCATTTCATTTCGATCGATGACGATTCCAAAGCCGTGGTTCTGACGTGTCGTGGGACACTTGGCTTTGAAGATGTTCTGACCGACATGACATGCGATTACGACGACTTGCTATGGCAAGGCCAGCGCTACAAAGTCCACAAAGGCATTCATGCTTCAGCAAGACGACTATTAGGTGGCAGTGGAAGCCGCATCATGGCCACCATCAGAGCGACACTCGAACAATATCCCGACTATGGCCTTGTTCTTTGTGGGCACTCCCTGGGAGGAGCTGTCGCGGCCATACTCGCCATCCTCATTGCCGAACCTTCGTTTGACGAATCCAAGACCTCGTTTGTCACCGGCAGCAAGCCCAAACTCCTTACCCATCAATCCACGAACGAGTCGTTTACTTCCTACATCCCTCCCATCAGTCTTCCACCAGGCCGACCAATCCACGTCTACGCCTATGGCACACCCGCATGTATGTCCGAGCTTCTCCGTGTTGCCACCCGTGGGCTCATCACGACCGTTGTCAACCACGCCGATATTGTGCCTTGCCTCTCTCTGGGTGTTCTGCACGACTTCCGCACTGTGGCATTGCACCTCAAACACGACACGACCGACGCCCTCGGTGCTCTCAAGACGCGAGTTTGGAGTCGTCTCAAAAACGCCGTCAAGTCCGCATTCTATAACAACCCGAGGGGGCCGCCCCCACCGGAAAACATTGCAGGCGATGGCCTCGGCGAAGATACTTGGGCATGGTCGGCACTGAAGACGCTACGCGCAGCAATGGTGAATGACAAACTGGTTCCTCCTGGAGAAGTGTTTGTGGTGGAAACGACCCGCGTCTTTGACAGACTGGAGCCAGACGTGGCGCGCGAGGCAGTCTTTGGACCTGACGACTCAAAGGACGACCGAACGGAGAAGCTCTACAGGGCACTTGGGAGACCAGCCACGAGAGTGCAATTCAAGCTCGTGCGGGATGTGGAGACGCGGTTCGGCGAGCTGAGATTCGGGCGGGACATGTTTGGCGATCACAGTCCGGGCAGATACGAGGCGAGTCTGGCGGCGTTGGATAGAGGAATCTGTGAAGAATGATTGTGGGTTTGAAGACTAATGACGTTACGATATACGGTCAGACTGATGCCGTTTTCTTTATAAAATGAGGTAGTTACTATATACCATGTAATCAGAGATGTTCTTGATGACATATACGGCCTGCTTTAGATCTTTTGGATATATACATCCACGCTCGTGTTTGCTTCTTGCTTGCTTTCTTGCTTATTTGTAGAGATCCGCACCACCACCGACACCGCCATAGTGAGGTGAAGTGAAGTGATTGTATTTGTCTTTGCGCTTCTTCCTCTTTTCTTTCCCCCCTTGTCACTCGCACACTCACTCACTTGCTCCGCCTATTTGTTGATTTATTGATCGGTAGTGACCCTCTCTCTTCACCTACGAAACACAATGTCTATACTATATATCATGTCATATATATACACACCCACACACGCAAGCCCGCAGCATGCCCGCGGCATGCCCGCCGCCCCCTTCTTTTCCCGACCCGGCTTGTTCGCGACATGATATATCTCCCCTAAGATATCCCTCGTCCGTCACGGCCAGAAGCGGCTATCGGTCCAGCATGACCCTCTGATGCTGAGATATGTGGACATGCGAGCAGGCGGCTCAGCTGGTGGGTGCTAGGCAGTGCGCGACGGTACCCGGTGGTCATGCTGGCCGCTCTCTGCGGCCTGCTGCGCGTTAGTGATAGACGGCTTTGAGGAGAGTGGTAGGTATAAATATACCCATCTGGAGCGGTGTCGTGGTCGAGGCTTTCTTGAGATATCTCTCTGTACAAATACAGAAACAGCAACAGAAACAACAACAACAAGAACAAGAACAACATTCTTGCTGAGCTTGATATCCACTCCTTCGGTGCGAGAAAGGACACAATAAGAAAGAAAACCGACAGGGAAAGACAGCGAGGGACACCAAGGGATACCACTATATTATAGCCATACAGCTATAAATCGTGTATCGCTAGAGAGGCGGAACGAACGACGGCAGTACAACGACAGCACCCCATCACCACCAACAACAACAAGAAACTCACTGTGACATCGGGGAAAGATCTCTCGTACAGCCAGCCGGGGAAAGCAGACCTTGTAAGTCGAACATGAGGGTGATGAATGAGGGACGTGGAATCTGACCAGATCTAGGAAAACCAAAGTCTAACAAACCTCCACGGTTGGGGATCTGGTCAAGATGCATTTGTCAATTGGCGGTGGTATGGGCATGAGCTTTGTCGGACTCTCGTATATTCTTCTCGCCGGTCTCGGGCTGTTGGGGCTTGTCGCTGCACGTTCCGATGTGGTTCACCATTGTCCACCCCGTATGGTGCGCCGTCGTTGTGGGATACGAACCAAACGACCCTACCCCCCAGTCGGACCGGCCAGTTGTCAAATGGATCAGTCAACCAGCCGAGGCAGTCTTGACCAGCCACTTCCTCGACAATCCGCAGGACACGGGTGTGGCCATGATGTGCACGCGCGACCCTTCTGCGTCGACACCGCTGGTCACGCAGCTCGAGAATGCTTGGGAGCAGGACGAGGGCAAGACGTATTTCGACGTCAGTAACATCGCAGGGGCGCCTTTTGTCAACGAGGGCTTCGAGATGGACGTCGACGACCCGGAAGATCCCAGTCTCAGTCTTGTAAGTTGTCGTGGCGCCTCTTGTGGGCCGGGAGACACGAACTGCAACGATGTGTACAACAAGTACAACGACGACTTTCAAGGGATGAGGACTTGTTCCGATTCGGTCAATATCAAGTTGACCTTGTGCTCGGGGTGAGGGGGACGGCGTTTCTGTGAGCAGAGTTGTTATGGTGGTTTGGATGACTTGGACCTGGGACGGATGAACACAACACCCCCGTACTACTTGTCCTGTATGTCTTGGATAGTAGCGAGTTTTGCCTGGGTGGATTTCGGCCCAGGACAGAATGTCTCCAGTTCCAGCTCGAGAGCTCGTGGATTAGGACCTAGTCTGGCAGTCTGGACCAGACGATCACGGGCCATCATCCATAGTCATTCCATAAGCTCGTCCTGGGTGACGGTGACTCTGAATCAAAGCTTGACCTTGGGGCTGGTGGCGGCACAGGAGACGTAACCGGTAGCTGGAAGAATCCTCACAAGCAGTGAATCATCCTTGTCGCCGCACGAGGAATTGCCTGATGACTCCCCCAGCGTGGCGGGCGTCGTTGTTGATTGGAGGAAAACTCACCTTTGCCCGGCCTGCGCCATGCACGATTACACAATTTTCCCACCCGGCGGATTTTGGGAATGATTCACACATCCTCCTCCTTGCCATTCACCACCGAACAAGGCCAGAACGAGAGAAAAAGACCAGCCAGACATAGAAACAAAATTGCCTCCTATCCTGTTGTCGACCGCTTCTCGGAAAACGAATATAAAGCAAACACCCGCACCTAGGCGGCCGTCTCCTCCCCTCGATTCGCTTCACTAAACAAACTGCGCTCGACCCCGCCGTTCCCTTTCATACCCTTTCGTCGACCTTTTACCCTCACCCTCTTTACACCAAACACCCACCCAAAACAAAGCGGCTATTGAGTGAACATGGCTGTACGAGCACAGGTAAGAGATTCTCGTCTCTTTTTCTCTCTTTTGCAAGAGGGGATTCTAAATGTCTTTGTGCGTGCGCAGTTCGAAAACTCCAATGAAGTGGGCGTCTTCGCCAACCTCACCAACAGTTACTGTCTTGTCGCGGTTGGGGCTTCTGAGAACTTCTACTCCATCTTCGAGTCCGAACTCGCTGATCTCATCCCCATCGCCCACTGCACCATCGCCGGCACCCGCATCGTTGGCCGCTTGACTTCAGGCAACAAGAATGGTCTCCTAGTCCCCACGTCCACCACCGACCAGGAATTACAACACATCCGCAATACTCTGCCAGATAGTGTCAAGGTTGAAAGGATAGAGGAGAGATTATCGGCGCTGGGCAATGTCGTGTGTTGCAGTAAGTAGGCGCCTTTTTTTTAGACTGCCAAGTGGTGTGCAGATCGTCTTTATTAACACCAGCGCCACTCTGTAGATGACCACGTTGCCCTCGTCCATCCGGACCTCGAACGAGAAACCGAAGAAATCATCGCAGACACCCTGGGCGTCGAAGTCTTCCGCCAAACCATCGCCGGCAACGTGTTGACCGGCTCCTACATGTCCCTCTCAAACCAAGGCGGCATCGTCCACCCGAAAACAAGTATTCAAGATCAAGACGAGCTGAGTTCGTTACTACAAGTGCCGCTAGTTGCGGGCAGTGTCAACCGAGGCAGCCCCGTCGTTGGTGCCGGCATGGTTGTCAACGACTGGTTGGCCGTGACGGGAATGGACACCACGGCTACAGAACTGAGCGTCATCGAGAGTGTCTTCAGACTGGGCGAAGGCGGCCCCGGTGGACTGGATGCCAGGATGAAGGCCAACAAGGAGAGCATTGTCGAGAGCTTCTATTGAGCCCTTGGATCCTACTCCACCTATGCAAAACATCTCTTTATTGGACATTGGGAATACTGGACACTGATCGACACCCTTCACTCGTGTACAATGATACTTTTTCCCCATGCCAAATGGACCTTTGCATGGGTTAGTCGCTGACGACGAGGACAAGGAACGTGGGACGCACCTTTGGGCGGATTACTTTTTCTTAATCCCGCATTTCTCCATGAACTCTGGTTGGATCCGCATCATGGCATGTGTGCTGGTGCAGGTGTTTGGATTTGACCTACCAAGAACATTTACAGAGGTTGTGCATGCTCACCCGAGAGTGAAGCCACATGCTCCGATATGGACGGATACAGATACAGCTACTGAAGGTTGTCGCCTCGTTTCGACCGGTCGCTTTCAGCACGAGCTTCAGCACGAGCACGAGCACGAGCACAAGCGCAGGAGCGCAGGAGTGAGAGAGTCCCGAGTGTCCGGTCAGTATGTGAAAGCAGATGAACGCCCACGAACGCACATCCCAACATCATTACCCAGCCCACACCCATGCGCAATGGAGTGAGGATCGAGGTGCTACGAACGGGTCTGGGCTTGATCTTGATCGCTTTCTTTTCCACAAACAAGGCTATGATCTCACGCTCGATCGAGCCCGACACTTGAACACAAATTACGAGGCAATGAAGGCGGTGAAGGAGAACTACGAGTAGGATGAGAGGCATGAAAAGGGACGAGGGAGTGGAACCCAAAAAATCAAAAATAATGACTGAGTGGTTCATCAATTGATTGATTGATAGATGGATCGAATGCGCTCTGCAAGGTCATACGCGTTCAAAAAGCCACACTCAGGTACCTAACTACCTACCTACCTACCTTCTACCTACCTTCCTGCCTAGATACAGTACACTCAAGTTCTGTCCTCGATCCCTCGATCCCTCGCCCTCGTCGATATGATTTGTACATGTTCAGAAACTTGACCATCTACCTAATACCTGAATCAATGCCGGACTTTTGACATGTTTTGTTTGTATTCTCGTTCTCATTCGCTTTCGCTTTCGCTCTCGCTCTGGCTTTCGCTTGAGAAACCGCTCGTGTGTGTAGTAAACTATATCAGACCGAGGGTGCGCATATGCTAGCTACTACGCGACCAATATGGCAGGCATTCTCGCACTCCTTTTGTCAAGGCGCAAAGAATAAAAAAGGAAATGGATCTTGACTCCAAAACATGTGCATGAAGATGGCCGTGTCCCAAGACCAAGACACAATCCTAGTAGCCCTCCCCCTCAAGGGCGCTTCGGAAACCCTCGCCAACGGTTCCCGTCTTCGCATCCCTCAATAAATGGGATATCAGGTTGATGTACACAAAAATGCCCAACTAGCTCCAAGACCGCTCCCTGAACCTGACAAGCCCGCGATGCAATACAAGCCCCGACCCCATGGTAACAGCCCTTATCGGCCTGCCTATGTGGCGGCAACGGGCTGATCATCCACCATGGGATTCCTCGGCTCCCCCTTCGCCTCCACTGCAGTCCCGTTTCGTATGACCACGTCTTCCATATCATCATACCCTTCCTCCGTATCTTCCGCCTGTGCCTGAGCGAGCACATCCGCCATGCTCTGGCCCTTGAAACTGGTGTCGGCGTAGATGTCTGTTTCTCCACCCATCACCACATCCGCGCCTTCATGTTCACCTTCACCAGGTGTGCCGTCAGGCGGTGACTCTGCTGGCGGCGCAGGTGGCGGTGGTGGCGGCGGAGGAGTCTCAGTATCCATGTTGAGTCGTTTCACTGGTGACCCAATCGGTTCTCTCTCGTCCTCTCCTTCAGCCGTGACGGATTCGTCTGCCTCGAGTCGCTTACGCTTTAATGTGCCAACCCCATTGGAATCAGCTGGTGTATTGAAATTCGGCGTGGCTTCCGCGTCGTCGTCTTCGTTATCCGACATTTTCATGTCTTCATGATCCACGGTGGTGTCTGCCTCAGGAGGAGATACTGCGGGAGACTGGGCAGGTGACGCAACGGGTCCTTCACCACCCCCTGGCCCTTTCTTTCCTTTTTCTCTTGCCGCCTTTTCGGCTTCGTGCTTCTTGTGTTTTTGATACGCCTTTTCAAAGAATTGCTTGCAAAATTCCTTGACTTTCTTCTGTTGTCGCTCGTCAATCTTTGTGGGATCCTTGACTCGGCCCGCTTTGTAATCTGATGCCACCAGCTTTTTTGCGATCTCCTTTGCAAATCGCTTTAGATCGTCCCGGGGAATCTTGTGCTTGTATTTGTTCATCACGTGAGAGATATGAGGGAAGAGCTGGACATCCCGGTCAGACGTGGCCCGTAGTATGCAAAAGACAAAGCGGTACTTACAGTATTCTCGTAAAGCTTCTTCTGTTTCTCGATGTCGTACGATTTCCACTTCTCTTCCTTCTTCACTTTGGCAGGTTCGGGCGTGGCCGGCGTGCTGTTTTTGGTGTCTTTGTCGTGGGACGTGACGATGTTCTCGATGATACTCTTGAGCACATCTCGTTCCGACGGTTGTTTTGGTGGCGGCGGAGGAGGGGCCTCTTCTGCGGGTTTCGTGGGTCGGGCCCACGTTGTCTGCCCGGTGACAGAATAGTAATATGTTCTGCCTTTGTCCTGAGCCGTAAACCAGCCTCGCGGTAGTGGAGGTGGCCCGCGATGAAAAGGTAGAGGAGGACGTGAGTAGAAAGAACCCGGTCGTTGAAGTGACCGTGGACCCGACGGTGCATTCAGCGAGGCAGGCCCTCGCGGTGGGGATCGCGATCTTGATCTCGATTTGGATTTTCTTCGTCCCTGGGCAGACTCTCGCCTCTCGAACGGCGTAGTCTCCGTCTTGACAGGCGTGTTTGCGTCTTCCCTCTTCTTCCGGGGAATTCTGTAGGCCAATTCGAGCTTCGACCAAGCATCCAGAAGCGCCGAGGCTTGACTTGCTACTTTCTCGTCAGAATGGTTAGTCAAAGACTCCATTGTCTTGTCAATCTTTGCATCGACAATCTTGTTTCTCGTGAGGCGTGGTAATCTGTTGAGGACGTCGAGAATCTGAAGGATGATGTTTTCATCGTCTCGCCATGCCGAGAGCTGAGAGTTGAGGATCTGGTATCCGTGGAATCTGACAACGCGGTGCCACGCCTGATCATCAGTACACCGTTGGATGCGTTGCAGCAATTTGACGGCAATCCATTTCTCCTTGCATTGCATGAGTGCGGCCATAACCTTGGTCACGCTGTCGACGTCCAGCGATTTGGCTTCGACGCTATCAACGTATTCCTCGTCGTCTTCTGCTGTCTTCCTCTTGCGTGGCCGCTTCGCAACCACGGTGTCCCAAGAATCAGCATCCTCGATACCCAGGGCCTCTATCGTGGCTGCCGATAGCTTAGTGGCTCGTTCGGTCTGGGTCTTGCCTCCAATGAAACCTGTGCAGTTGGCCTCACCACAGTAGCAAGGTTGTGGATTGGCGCCATATCGATCGACATTGTAGTTGAAGACCAATTCTTCCCCGGCCTTGATATAGCGCTCAGCGAAGATGCCCATGCGCAATTTGTCCCCAACCACCCATTTGTCGACGTAGCAGTTGGGGTTGCAGGAGTGGTTGCAAAACCGACCGAGGTTCCCTTTCTTCGTCGCATCGATAAACTCACCCTTGCTCAGGGACATGAAATAGAAATGTTTGATTCCTTCTTCATCGTACTGCAGCATACGCTTCCGGAAAGTGGCTTCGGGAATGGTCTCGCCAATGTATTCAAAGATAAAGTCATGCGGTCGCAGATCGACATCGGTGCGAAGGCCATAGCCCTTCTTTTCGGTCTTGATAATCGAGACTTTGGCGTAGAGGCGCCTGAGAAACCTTTGATTTTGGCACGAAACACCGCAGCCACAGTCATCGGCACATTCCATTTTACACGCGCGGTTGATGCAGTCGGAATCCTCCCCACAGGCAAGGTTCTGCCTCGTGGACGGGTCTGGATACACATGGTTAGTCGCTGCCAGAATTATCTAACCATCCAGATTATAGCCAAACTCACCCCACTCCTCGCTGCAATCACAGTCGAGGGCATGTTCGCTGAATCCGAGGTATTTGTTTTGATAAGTGCACGCATCAATGACGGTGAATGTCGAGGTGGCTTCTTTTGTTGCGTCCGGGAGGTGGTCGAAGAGAGGAGCGACACGGGGTGGAAGCTTAGAGGTGGTTCGGGAGGTCTTTGCGGGCTTCGAGGCTTCCTTGGGTTCAGGCTTGACGGGCGAGGTGGAGGTTGAGTGGTCACCATTTGCCTCGTTCGGCTCTTTCTTGGCAGTTGACGTGTCAGGATCACCGGCCGGAGGGCGATTTGAAGAGGACGTCGATACAGAGGATGAGCGGGAGGACTTTAATCGGACTGGTTTCAGAGATGGTGAAGCCGAGGGGCTCGCCGAGCTCTGATGCTTGATGGTGGCTACGCGGGTTGTGCTGAGCTCGTGAGCAAGCTCAGCGTCCACCGACTCTTCGCGCTTGACCTCAACCATCTCGTGCTCATCTGCAGACGGCCGTCTGGACGAATCTCTGCTTAGTCGACCCATCTGGACGATGATTGCGATGAATTTGGAGACTCGGACGATGATTTGGCGCCAGGCCGACGCAGAAGTGAGGTGGTGCAGAAATTTCACGGGGTCTCATGGGCATCTGGGCGATACGAGCCAAACAACCATGGAGCTCCACCAACGGCAGCAATTCACCACCGGACAGTCCAGGACCTCAAGCGCAATGATCAGTATGATGGCCTTTTCAACTGCGCGTGCCAACTGCGTCAATTGCCCGACGTTCGACAGTTGAAATGGGACAGTAGCGAAGCCGTCGGGTGGTCTATGAATGAACGAGGGGCAGAGGTGTCTACCACCCCATAAATTCGCAGTTGCACAGTGATTTCTTTTTTCCTCTTCTCCTTCAAGCAGTGAATGGTCTGTAGTTGTCTCTGCAGCGACCGAGGACCAGGTGACGGAGCAAGAGCAATAGAGCGGCGGTGAGTGAAGAAC